TCACTCCAGAATGTTTTGATGCAGCTTCAGATGAGTTCACTGGTATAGTGTCACATTTCACTCCAGAACTTTTTGAAGCAGCTTCAGATGAATTTACTGATATAGTGTCACATTTCACTCCAGAATGTTTTGATGCAGCTTCAGATGAGTTCACTGGTATAGTGTCACATTTCACTCCAGAACTTTTTGAAGCAGCTTCAGATGAGTTTACTGGTATAGTGTCACATTTCACTCCAGAACTTTTTAAAGCACCTTCAGATGAGTTTACTGGTATAGAGTCACATTTCACTCCAGAACTTTTTGAAGCAGCTTCAGATGAGTTTACTGGTATAGTGTCACATTTCACTCCAGAATGTTTTGATGCAGCTTTAGATGAGTTTACTTGTATAGTGTCACATTTCACTCCAGAATGTTTTGATTCAGCTTCAGATGAGTTCAGTGATGTAGTGTCACATTTCACCTCAGAAGTTATTTCAGCTTCAAAGGAGTTCAATGATGAAGTGTCACATTTCACTCCAGAATTTGTTAATAATACAGATGAGTTTAATGGTGTAGTATTACAGTTCATTTTTATATTTGTTTCTGGAGAATTGGAGAATTTTAAAGAAGTAAAATTACATATATTCTGAAATGAAGTATATGTTTGATTCAAGTTCACTGAAGAAGAATATTTTGAACTGGAGGAATTCTGTGGTGAAGTGTTACATTTTGAAGTTAGTACTGGTAAAACATTATTGCATTTTAGAGATTTAATTTCTTGGTTTGATACTGTTTTTTTATCATTCAATAGAGTTGAATTCTGTTTTTGAGGATTGCCTAAGAAATTACAAGTTTTCGGCAACAAAGACACAGAGGTTTGCGTGGAAGCAGAATATTTTCCAGGTGACACAGAGTAAGAAGTTTTACACACACCTAGAGACAAAGACTCACTCTTTGGGAACAGCCTGTCTTCTTTGTTCACCAAGTGAGCTAGAAAATAAAACCAACAAAATAGCTGACTTTACTAGCAATAATCAAAATCAAAAAACAAAACAAAAAACAACTCCAATCTAAGTTTTTACAATATCTTCTTTTAAAACCTTAACCCTTTTAATATGGGTGGGTGGATTCCACAGAGCTCGTATTTTCAAAGTAACCATAAAGCAGTTATACTGTAACTTTTTAAAATGTACATGTACCTTCATTAAATTTACAGATATCAGTGAACATTATAAGGCATTTGTGCACAATATATCAGATTTTTTAATTAACTTTTTTGCTCATGCATTTTTTATTTTCAAATACTGACTATCCAACATGCAAAGTAATTTTAATTTTAAGATTTGAAATACTTTTATGCATCAGAAAATTGTCAAATTTCACATGTAAAATCTCTATAGCCTTCTAATATCCTCCATATAATTATTAAATGTTTTTTTAGAAGAAAGCTTTATACGTTATTTTCATTATGTATCTCCATGACCTCCTAATATTTTCCATATAATTATCTAATGTTTCTTTTAGAAAAAAAAACTTTATTTTATCTGTTATTTTTATTATTGTATCTTTGTATGGGTTTGGTTGATTCTACTGACCTCATAATCATCATAAAAAAAATAGGAAATAGATATAAATTAAGCTTTTTTCGTTCTAGAAATACCACAATTTATAACACAAAACCACAAGTGTTTAGTCTAAATAGCTTAAATCCTATAACATTTTACATTTAAATATATTTATTACTTTTATTACATTGACCTTTCAACAGTGTCTGACTAACGTCACAAAAGTTGAAAGATGTGGCACACTAGCACTCATGTTACTGTATCAAATATAAAACTGGCCTTTACAAAGTGACATCTTGGCTGTGTTCCAGTGGACCCAGTATTTTGTAAAATTTAGTCACATTTTTACTATTTACAAATAATTTATTATATTTCAGTTATTTTTCTTAAAACATAGAATAGTAAATAGTGAAGAATAGAAAACAATTCTCTCTTCCAGTTATGAACTTTGTACTCGTTTGCAGCTTGATGTAATTTGCTAAGCCTTATTAAATTTTGCACGTGGAGAATGTAAAACAAAATAATTTTTTAAAGTTTTATATATGCATTTTGAAATAACAAAAAATCGTAAATTACTCTATATTACATCTTTTGGTATTTTGTCTCACTCCAAAACCCATCTGAGTAGATCCACATAAATATAATATAATATTTAAAAGTATCTATTAGTTGTTTTTGCTTTGAGCATCTCCTATAATCACCAACTCAAATTCTTGACAAATTACTACTGCATAGAAACTTGCCTCATTGCAGCTCAATTACTACCATCCAGACTAATTTTCTGTATCACCCTGTGATATATATATATGAATAAATAAATAGCTTACAAACTATTGATTACATTACTTGTTTATAGGTGATTAAATCATCACTATAAAATAATAATGAATTAAATATCGCAATACCGTTATTGGTCCTGGTTGTCAATATATTTTCATAACGAATAATGTCTGTGATAATAGCACCCAAATGCATTGGGGATATCCCATCTATCAGACGATATCCAAATGCCGATGTTAATCTAGTCAGCTATTATGGAAAATCATAAAAAAAATCAAAAATCAATCAAATAATAGTACAAAGCTGAGTGCTTACACCTACAACGTCTCAGCTTCTACTGCCTTTCACTGTCTATAGCCAGTTGTGTGAAGGCAGTTACCCTTAAATTTCTTAAAGTAGAAATGAATTGAAATAAAGCCACTCTAATATTTTTACTAATTAAACTCCCAACCTCCACCTTTATGAAAATATATTAAATAGAACTATAAAATATTGAATAGAATAGAATAGAAATTTGTAGGACAAAACTAATCCTTTACATCTAAGGATTAACCTACATAGATCGCAAAGTAATAATGGTTTTTCCTCATTCGATAGAAATAAATCATTTTAATAAAGATTCATTTAAAAATGTTAAAATTACTATATTAGAAAAAATCTGCAATACAAATTTGTTAACAGAAATAGAAGAATATGATATTCTGAAAGAAAAACTCTTTACCCTTATGGATTAAATCAAGACTTTCAAAATAACACTGCTGAAGTTATAAGTAAAGATTAGAAATTTATTTCAAATAAATATTTGTAGAACTAAACAAAATAAAAATAAGGGTAAAGGTAAAAATCGAAAGAAATTGATTGATTTTGAAAGTTTTGTAAAAATTGGGATTCTGTTTTTGACAGATCTGTTAATCTGGTGAAATTTATAATAAAACAAGTATTTGAATTAACAAATGCAAAACTCATATATCTGTCAAAATGTTTGATAAACTTTGAGTTTAAAAATATCCATGTTAAAGACTTAATTATAAATCTAATTAAATTTAGATTAAAATGGAATCGTATATCTATACTCCCTTCAGTAAAGAAAAAGGAGAAATCTTATATAGTAATTGATTTTAAACATAATGTTTATGATGATTTATATTTACCTTCCCTGATCCATAAAAGTATTGAAGAAGATATTTTTCCCTTAAAATCATTTCAACCAATAGTCAGTTTTAAATATAATAAACCTATAGGACCTCTTCTCTTTAACTAAAGAAAATTCATTGAAGAATTTAATCAAATAGAAGTTGGCAACTCACCTTGTAACTGTAATAATAGTGTTTTTAAAGATGTCTTTCATAATCATATAGTTACAGGAAACTTTGAAGTTGTCAAAGATAAAGAATTATAATCAATATTAAAGAAAGGTACTAAATATAGTTTTAAAATGTGAAGTCTTAAAAGATTTAGAAAAAAATGTTTATGATTACATTCTTAAAATGAGTAAACAATCATATTATCCACCATGTTTCTTTTTTGAATGGAAATTATATTTTATTAATTCCATATACAATTGATTAAGAACTGTAAATTTATCTTGTTATAAATTAGATATTTTTTTCAATATTTTAAAAAATAAAATAAATTCAAAAACAATTCGTTATTACCCCATCTGATAAAGCTGGCTGTAATTTTGGTTTTGTGTGCAAAAAATTATATGCACAAATTTTACTTAATGAAATTAATACCACAAGTACTTTTACTAAAAATACTTTAGAAAGAAATAATGATATTACTAACTTAAAGAAGGCTATTCAAAATGGAATATCCATACAGATTATTCTTCTATGAATTTACCATTTTTATACGCAATTCCAAAATTGCATAAAAATCCTGTGAAATTCAGATTTATTACTAATTCTTTCAATACAGTCATTAAATCTGTTTCCATAGTACTTAACAATATTCTAGATGTCTTGTTTGAAAAAATAAAAATACAATCTTCAAATAACCAGAATAATTATTTTTTAACTATTAAAAATAACATTCCAGTTTTGGAATTTTTAAATAGTTTAAACCAGTTCTATTTTTACATATGGCTTTACTACATTGCATACTAAAATAGACCTAAAAGATTTAATAAGAATTTTCAATAATTTGTTTGATAACTTCATAAATAATGAAATAACTATTCCCAAATTTAAATTTACTAGAATTCAGTGTAAAAATATACTCCATTTCTGTATTTATAACAGTTATATTGTTTTTAACAAACAAGTATATAAGCAAACGGTGGATATTCCAACGAGAATGAACTTCTCTTCAAATATGGCTTTTATGAAAACTCATTTATGAAGCACACTTTACATCCTAACTTATACATTTACACTTTCCGTTACATAGATGAT